CACAGATTGTGGTTTATAATATAATGATTTATAAAATAATCTACAAACATTCATCCTTTCAAACTCAAAATGCAAATGTTGCTCCCAGTATTCATTCATCTCTGTGGCATTTCACAGTGGAGCATCAAGCTGATCTGTTCATTTGCATAATGATTCATATGATTCATTATGTAATCTGGATTATGTTCAGTCAAGTGCATACTCATATTAGAGGCTCGTTCCTCGTTGAAATATGTTGGAGCATATTGCATTAGGAGCATTTAATCTTGTTTTGTGTTCTTAATATCATCACACAAACAAAATGCCACGTTTTTGAAGAAGGCAAAGGGACAGTTTGCCCTAAACACAAAAGTTTGGAACACAAAGGGAGAATTTTGAGTAATTGTCAGACAGCTTTTGTTGCATACTAATTTGTAATAATCCAAAATGACAAATGACATCTCAGAAGTTGAGACTGTTTCAGGTTTTCCGAAGCCAGATTTCAAATCAATTATGGTGCCGCAGGTTGGACGTCAATAATATCAAATCACTGGATTGCACGTGTCTCATGAACAAATGTCGTAATTGATTGTTAGGTCTAACTCAATCTGACCTAATGACAGCATAATCACATGGCACAGCTGATTGGTTCTCTCCTGTATCGGTAGCCCGCTGCTCAACATTCAAATATATGACTAGTGCTTGCTTTAGCAGTTGCAGCTTGCTGCAGAAACCCTCCACCTTCCCCAGCTCCACCTGTATAGATCAGCTACGAGGTGATTCATGTATGCTATATGGGCAGCAGCAATATTTCTTACATGCTCACAGCAGCATGTTGTGGATGTATTGGCAGTAGCAAGTCTCGGTACTTGCTCTGCCCCAGCAGCGTAGCAGATCTATTCCGCCAAGACCCAATACATTAACATTGTAGTGTACATTATCATGCCGATCCCACCGAGAGTTGTCATGACAGAACCTGTAATAACTTACATTTCGGTTTATTCATCACAGCTACTTTGAAATTCATATGGACTACTTTTTTAACTTTTTGGTACTTATAGAGTGATATAAATATATATATATATATATATATATATGTTGTCCTAAACAAGGGGTTTCCAAGCTTTTTGAGGATCCCCATGTACGATGATCCTAACCTAAACTATAAAAGCAGCTATGTATTTCAATTTAGAAGGAACCATTTATACTGTATGAGAAACATATTAAGGTTGATTATTATGAGGAAAACATATATTTATATAGGCGCAGTACTAAAACCTTAAGAAATTTAAATATTATCTATTACTTTTTATTTACGTAACCCGTACTTTTGTGATGGGGTCAATTTGACCTACATTTAAACTGCTTTAAAACTGGATGAAGTGTTTGCGTATTGTTGAAGTGTGACTTTTTCCTCATTTGGGGTCATGAATGTGAAGATGTGTTTTGGAAAAGCTGTACGAATTTTGTCTACCCTGGTATCAGGGGTCAGCGGGTTACCCCATCTGTTTCCATGTAATTTGCCAAAAATTAACAAATTTAAAAACAGTAAAGAGTCAGTAAAAATAAGAAGAAAAAAAGATCAAGTGATTCATTTTGACCCCTAACAAAAACGGAGGACCTGTTGTATTAACACAGCGGGGCGGGAGGGTAATATTTACGAATACAAACTTGTTTTTGAGTGCATGTGTTTGGAATGGACAACCGTATTTAATAACAGACGTGAGTCTTAAAACTTTCCCCTTAAATACAGCATTCGCAAGTGGATCAACGAGCTGATGCCAGTCCCCTTTGTTGGTTCTCAGCAATATTTCTTACATGCTCACAGCAGCATGTTGTGGATGTATTGGCAGTAGCAAGTCTCGGTACTTGCTCTGCCCCAGCAGCGTAGCAGATCTATTCCGCCAAGACCCAATACATTAACATTGTAGTGTACATTATCATGCCGATCCCACCGAGAGTTGTCATGACAGAACCTGTAATAACTTACATTTCGGTTTATTCATCACAGCTACTTTGAAATTCATATGGACTACTTTTTTAACTTTTTGGTACTTATAGAGTGATATAAATATATATATATATATATATATATATATATATATATATAGTTTGACGTTGCTTTGTACTGTTGTGCAATTTTAGAGCTATGAACAGAGAGTTTAAATTATTAAAATATTCTTATTTCTTTCTTGCCATGAACATAAGAAGACATTTTGAGATTAATTGAATGTTTATTTTTGGAGAAAAGCTGCATTATGCTACACCCTAGGGTTTTGCATTTAAATACCATTGCTCATGTGAAATGTCACTGGTGAAATCCAGTCATTCCAATAGGAATTGGGAGTTTAATGTGAAGGCAAAAAAGCCCCCCATGCAGATTTAGCTCATGTTCAAGTTGGTCATGGAAATTCAACACACTAACAAACAGAAAGCTGCTTAGTTCGAAAGTAACTTCTGTGTGAGCAGTGCTACATATATCTGTATTCTGCTGACAATTTTTTTGACAATGTGATTTTTTTTGGCTACATCATTTCACTAAAATTGGTGTCTTGAGGCTGTATAACCATTCCCTGCTGGTTGCATAGCTTATAGCCTGTGTGACCTTTGGGTGACTCCTTTCACGTTTTTCAACTCCTTTGAAACTGGAGCTCCTTGTTACCATCATCTATCCAACCCCAATCAGCCATACTTCAGCCTTCTAAAGAGCCGAAACTTGATCTCGCCATGTTGTTTTTCTTTCTCCCTTCTATCCAAGCCGGCTGTGCAATCGCTCTGGGGAAACGCTGTGATCTGCTCCACTGGGTTTGATATGTGACAGCCACTCCAAGCTGCCTGCAAACAAGCCCAATTCCCTCATAGACCAGTGTGCCCATGTTGGTCCATGCCTGAGCAAGTACCCTATCTCCGTCTTATGGACGAGATACCTGGATTCAATTACAGTCCTGCTAAAGATTTAGAATTCACCTCCCAGTTGAAAACCAGGTATTAGAGGAGCAGGGTGTTGGAGATAGTAGAAGATGTAATACACGGTGTGAAGAAGGCAGTAAGAAAAAACACAAACATTTGATATGAGACACTGGCCTTTGACTGAAATCATGTGACAAAGAAATTGTGAGTTAGGACAAAAACATCATCTATACAAGTACATATGTACACATTTGCTTGACAATGAGGACAACATGGGGAGGATAGATTTACCTTCCGATGTATGTGCCATTAAACTGGCTGTGTTGTTATTCAGGAAGCTAATTATAAATTTGTCAACAGTTTAACTTTTTTAAAGGGTCTTTAAACTTTTTTTTACCCAGAACCTACAAATATGGTGCTCCTTTTATGAAGTACCCACTTACTAAAATATAAAGGCAACTGCATATTTTCATGTATAATGACCAATGTAAGAAATTTATAATAATATTATAACAAGACAACATACTGTTTATAAAGACATGCTTTTATATTCTACTTTATACTATATAAAATTATTTAAAGTTATAATATTTTATTATTGAAGTAATAAGTAAGTAAATCTTTAGAATTTTATTTAAAAAAATTGATTTAATTTAGATTTATTTATTACTGTTAAGAATTGTCAATGGAATAAAATAATCATGATTAATTTAATGATTTCTGGTCTATAAAAGGCAATGAAACAGTAATAATATCAGATGTGTTATAATTACTGTGTAAAACATTTTATCATTTTTTTTCTAATTTTCTTTGGACCCTCAAGCATTCCAGTGCAGACCCCAGATTATAGAATGTGACTTGTTTCTCTTTCCTTGGCTGTTAAACTGGAGTTAGAATCTATTTTTTAGAAGGTGCCTCTGATGTTTGCATCTCAAATGATACTCAGGCAAATTATACTGGACACTATGGCCTTTGAAGTAGTGTGATGTGTCTTAAACCTCACACATGCAAGTGTAAGAATCTGAGATGGGGACAGATTGTGACCTATTTTCTTTTGTCTCAGTTCAGATATTTAAATCCGGTCTCCCTGGCCAGTCTCGCTGTGAGAATGTCAAAGCGTATGAATGCGAGTCGGATGGCTACAGTAGAGACGGCGTTCAGATCTCTCTATGTTCAATCAATGAACATCTGGTCTTGATCCACAGAGGCTCCACCAATCCAATCACACTTTTCCCAGGCTGACTTTTGCAGCTCTTTACATTTGAAGAAAGCATTTTCGTCATACTAAAATCAGCTTTCAAGTCGCTTACAGAGAAAGGTTTGCGTGTGTGTCATTGTTTGCTTTAGTTCAATCCTTTGGCCAGGTTTTTAAAAAGGTTAGCTTGAATAGATCATGCAAAACTGAATACAAATGATAATCAGAATCAGAGTATTTCTTTTGTGTTATCTAGAGAGTTTATACTTGATACATCATGATTAAACACTATTGATTATTGCATTCCAAATGTTCATATGTTTTTAATTCTCTACCCATTAGATTCCCATTTACAGGCAGAGATGCTGCTTTATTTTGTGATTGCTTTCTTTCATCTTGTCTATTTACAGCTCTCTCGTCTTGCCCTGAACTCATTTATATTTATATATTTCTACAGACACATGCTAACTGTATTCAGGTGGTGTTTATAACACATATGTATGTGAATCTGAGGTTACATCAGGCCATTGTATTAGCATACAGTAACATTGCTCTTCATATTTACCTCAATATGAGATTTTAATTTAGGGATTAATAAATGTGACACTGTGGATTTTAAGACAATTTGGGAAAGTGTTTGAGGGACACAAAATCCTTTCACATCACCGCTAAGCCTATTAATGGCAATTACACAACAAAGAGCTGGCAGTGCGTGCATTATTGAGAGAACACCGCCAAAGTACTTACTGTGTAGTGCACCATCTCAGACAGCTGTAGACTCCAGTCAAGCAGGACAAATTTCATTCTGAAACAGGAAATTCACCTGAATAGCTTGCATGCTATCTGGTGGGAATTGCTTCCCCCCCAAAAAATCCTTTTTCATTTTATTAGTTTTTGTGTCTTTGTCTTTTTGTAGTGGAAGATAAATCAAAAAATGGGGAACTAGATCTGGATGGGATTGATGAAGAAGAGATGGAAAAGGTACATTATGTAGTTAGTAATTAATGGATTTATGGATCAACTTTTATATTCACTTACACTGCAAAAATAATTTTCTTAATCAGTATTTCTGTCTATTACTTTTTTCTGGTAAAATATCTAAACATCTTTACAAAAGAAGATATATTTCTATCTATCTATCTATCTATCTATCTATCTATCTATATATATATATATATATGC